TCTGGAGCCATTCCCGCTGCAGGCATCTGCCCTTTGCAGCTTCCTCGCTCCGGTTCCACCTTCCTCCTCCTCCTCCTCACCCTTCCTGCCCCTCATGCTCCAAGCTGCTCCCTCCGTTCTTGCATTCCGGTGACTGCAAACAATGTCCTTATTCACTCCGTGGCTGGGATTTGGCGGCGAGGGGAAGGTCTGGGCGCAGAGGAGGAGGAAGGAGAGAGGCAGAGAAGTGAGTGTGCCTGTCCTGGGCCAGCTGTCCAGCTGTGGTTAAAGGTGCTCTGTGGAGCAGGCTGGCTCTCTGCTTCCCCAGTTTCCTACAGGAATGAGGGCTGTGCACTCCTGTGGTTTGTCCACCTGCCCTGCTGTAGTACCCTCCAAACCCACAGCCAGTTTCAGCAGAGTTTATTGGGAATTAGCATCCTGCAAGCATCCCACAGGTCAGGGTGTGGGCACTCGTTTGCTCTTGCAAGGTGAATGGCCCTGAAGGATGCACAGTGCCCATTAGACATCAAGAGAAGCTGCATGAGCTCCGTTTGCCCTGTGAACACAGTAAGGCTTTTCACTACTCCAGCTCTTGTTTAAAACCACAGCAGCTCAGCAGGTCATGGGGCACAGCTCTGCCTCTGGTGAAGCTGCCAGGCTCCTTCCTGATCCTGCTGGGAACTGGGCAGGGGCTGGTGAGCCCTCGAGCCCCCAGGGAAGGGGTGCCAGAAGTTCTCCCCTGCCAGCTCTCCCTGGGAGGCACACAAGGGCCCTGACCAGCCTCAGAGAACACAAAACCTGGGGCATGCTGTGGGATTTTGCTGCCCTAATGCTGGCCCCCGGGCAGTGGGCTTCTGGGGGCTGCAAAGAGGGGATGAGGGGAGTGCTGGGCCTCAGGCAGGGCAGGGCCATAATCCACTGTTACTGTGGGCTCAGCAGTGACCACAGGCTTTGCTCTGCCCTTTAGGAGAGGACAGTGTTGAGATCAGCCCAAGACAAGTCAGGGGAAATATCTTGCCCGCAGATTTCTCCCGCCTGGGAGGTCTTGGGTGGGTGTGAGCTCCTTCCTACACCCCAGTGCCCCCATTTACAGTGGAAGTTTTCCCAGCTGTTTGAGCTGGACCCGTGTGTGTAACACATCTGAGCCTTGTGGTGCTGCAGCCATGCAGTCGCTCTTGGGTGAGAAGCATAGATGCCCTGTATCATCAGAGCTGCTAAACTCTTTATTGCTGTCTTCCTGTCTTGTGGCCACAGGCATTTAATGTTGCAGAAATTCCTTGTTGGAACTGCCCTGTTCCCCAGCAGACATATCCCTATGCCCTGCCTGGCAGGGTGGATGTGTCCCATGCTGGGGTGGCCACTGGGAGCTGGGGTCAGTGCTTAGTCGTCTGCACCTTACTGCCCCTCTGACCAGGGCATGCAGTAAGGTGCAGGCAGGGTGTGGTTTCCCTGGTGGTGGTTTCCTCCCAGCAAGTGCTGTGGAAATGGTCAGCAAGCCTTCCCCCAGCACAGTCCCACGGGGACCAGCTGTGTGCATCCTCCCTGCAACGAGACTTTGCAGTGCTTGCTTTGCTTCCTGCAGAGATGTCCCTCCAAGCAGTGTTTCAGTCCCAGTGTATGACCTTGGTACCCCAAACCCATCTGACTTGCCACAATTGCTGCTCAGAAATCACCCTCTTCTGCCTGCACGGGAGGAGTGCACCCTCGCTCCTGAAGGGATGATAGTGTCCCCTCCTTTGTCCTTCCACCTTTGGTGGTGCAGCTCCCTTGCAGAGTTGATGCCCACGGCGTGTTCGCAAGCTCCCCGTATGGGCTCAGCCCTTTTGTACCCACACTTCATTTTTCTCCATGAGGAGGAGGCAGATTTTGTTCATCTCCTGCAGAATAAGCTGGTGTCCTTGAACTAGCCCAGTCTCACTGGGGCCTACAGGGTCATGGTGGACCAGCCACTTACCCCAGCCGCCGATTAATTTATTAATTAATGAGATGAATTTGCTCTCAGCTGGTGTTGGAATAAAAAGCATTTTTAGTATGCGTTTCGCAAACTGGCGACGTGTCTCGGAAAAGACAAACTGGGATCAGAGTTGCGCACAGCCTGGGAAGGGTGCCTGTACGGAGGGAGCCTCGGCTCTCCCAGCATCAAGGTCATGCATGAAATATGAGAAATTACCCCGAGAAATTCTGATCCTGGAGGAGGAGGAGTTCATGACTTCAGAAATGCCAGATTTGGGAGGGGATGGAAGGGGAAGGGATATATTTTCCTTTTCAAAATACCTAAGGAATTCAGCCTGTGCTGCACAGACAATGAGATTTTGCCCCTCGGTGCCAGAAGGGGTAGTTCATACCCTTGTGTCTTGTTAAGGTTTTGTTGCCGTGGGTGAAAAGCCCTCCCATTTCACTGCAATCCCAGGCACGTACAGTTTTTAAATCACCCTAAAAAAAGAGTGGCTCAAATATGAGGTTTAAAGTGCTGCATGTCCTCTATTCTGTCTGATTTCTATGGCTTTAGGTTGGATTTTGGTCACTTTTTCCAGCTGTGAGGTGACATTAAATTAACTTATATATGCAATAAGTTATTTTTACAGATGTTTATATGTATATTTGTGATTTCACATAATTGCATGATTCCTGGAGTGGAGCAGTCTGAGGTTTGTTACAAAACACAAAGGTTGGCAGCTCTGCCACGGCAGCTGCAGGGCGATGGTACGTGCATGTCCGGGGCTGTTCGGTGCCTCCCTCGGGGGTCCCTCAGACCAGTGAGGCTGGCAGGGTGGCCTCTGCCTGCCTGGCATCTGCCAGTGATAGGAAACCCTGCTTTACCCTGTTAGAGCATCCTGGCAGCATCAGGGGGAAGGGCAGTGGCTGCCTCGGGTATGTCAGATACCTGATGGGTACGACGGAGTGGGATGGGGATTTGGCCTCTGTGCCCAGCAAGGGATCCTGTCCTATGTTTTTTATCCACTCCTGTCCCATCTGGCAGACAGAGAAGTCAGGCTGAGGATGGGGCTGCTCCTGGGGCCTGGCTAGATGTGGCCATCCTCCTGGTGGGCTGGTGTAGGATGGGTCTGGCTGTCTGTGGTGGAGATGGCGGGTCTGTGGCAGGGAGGGAGGTGTAGGGAAGGGCTCGGTGCAAAGCTCGCTGTGTCCTTTGGCTGGCCAGCATGAGGCGTGAGCAACTCAGCCTGCACTGCACAACCTGCCCAACTCCCACATTCAACTGGCCTCCTGCAAGCAGGGATGTTGGAAGGAATCTTTCCTTGGAGCCCAGGAGCAGGCTTGTTGCCTGCCACTTCTCAATCCACCTGCATGGGGCTGTTGTCTGTTTAGTGCAATACAACTGTTGTCCACTGCTCCATATTTCTGCCTGGTGCTTGACCCAAAACCCTGTCTGAGCCCCTAGAGAAACCCCCAGCAGCTCCACACTCAGGCCTGGCCGCTGGCACAGGACCTAGGACACAGTTCCTGCCTGCACCCTCGGTTCTCCAAGGTTCAAGCAAGTAGTGCTGCACTCACTCTCCAGAGCTCACTGTGTTAAACCTGGGAGTGGACTGCAGCCTCCTGATGCTGCAGCAGCACAAAACCCAATCATTTTACAATGAAACAACGAGATTTTTAATGTATGCCTCAAATCTTTCTCCGTGTGGATGCTTCCAGTGATGCCCGTGGATGCTGCAGGCCCCTGTGTTTCTGTACGCACGCGCAGGAAATGTCCCCCCGTGGGCTGGGGGCCTGCGTTGCTGTGACTGCCCCGCAGCCCTGTTTCAGTGGATGTGCTGTCTGTGTGTCTGTCTGCATGTGCCTGGGTGGGTGCACACACATGCATCCTGGGCATGCATGTGGAGTGTGCTGTGAGTGGGAAGCTGGGTTTTTTTAGCTCCTCGTTATTATTAGTGGTAGGAGCCCAGTCACAGTAAGGCTGGAGGTGCCTGAGACCTTAAGAAAAACAACAGGAGGGAGGAGGCTTCGCATTCCTGCTCCTGAATTGAGTCGGAGGTGACAGCCTTTCCCTGCAATGCAATTAATCCCGGCAGCGCCTCTGCCACCCTCCCCCTCCCGCCTCGTCCAGGAATTAATTACTTGATTATAAATTCCCGAGTGGCAGTTTATAATAGCAATAATCCCCTCGAAATTCATTCTTGCTGCCGGTTTCTTTCCATCTCGCCCCCATCGTTGAGTCTCGAGCGCCACATCTCCATGCCGGGTGAAGCCCTTCTCCTCGCCCCACCGGTGTCCTGTCTTTTTCCCCCCAGTAAACAAGAAGGGAGAATATTTGGAGTTGATTTTGAGGGGTGTTTTGGGAAGCCTTGCTCCTGCTCACAGGGATGGAGCCCTTCTCTCACGGGCAGTGGGTTTCTCCAGGCTGGGAAGCGTGCGGGAGTGACACACTCACGCTGATAGCTGGGGATAAGGTTTTGTCCCAGTTATTTGGTGGATGGCCCAGGCCCAGCCCCAAGGAGTGGGGCTGGGTTCTGGCAGTGTGGCAGGGGAGCTCCATTCCACCTCACTCTGTCCCTCCAGATTATGCTGACACTGGCTCTGGGGCTTGTCAAGGAGGCAGGGAAGGGAGAAAGGATTTGGCGTGGCGTACGGGAGTGTGAGGGAGGTGGTGATGTCTCACAGGAGCCTGCTGGCCATGGGTGATGGGCCTCAAAATGGTACTGCCTTAGTGGGGGATGAGCCTCTCTGGGTCCCCCCCACAGCCCCCAGGGCTTGGCCCTGACCCAACCCCACTGTCCGGGCTGCAGAAAGTTTCCTGAGGTGCTGCCCCCATCCCGGGGACCCAGCCCAGCCGATAACACAGCCCGGCACACGCAGCCCCTCTGCCATTTCCACCACTGAAATAACCAAGTTTCCAGCTCCACAAGCTACGCAGGGGCTTTCAGCCTGGCAGTGGCGTCCTGCTGGGAAAAAGCACCATCCCTCGTGAACCATGTGGGCAGAGGCAGTGTGGGCAGCACTGATGTTCATTGGCACATGTGGCCGCTGGGCTCTGACGATGCTGCTTTCCCTCATCTCTGCAGAAGATGCTGATGAAGCAGCAGGACCGCCTGGAGGAGCGGGAGCAGGACATTGAGGAGCAGCTCTACAAGCTGGAATCAGACAAGCGGCTGGTCGAGGTAACCAGTGCTTCACCCTGCCACAGCCAGTCCCCGGGACTGTCACCCTATGGCACTATGGGGACAAGCTCGTGGGACACAGGGGCCAGGTGGGCAGGGAGGAAGGCAGGCATGCAGGGGAGGAGTAGCTGGACAGACTTCCAGCCTCCATTTCAGTGTCATCAGTCATCGTTTTGGGAGAAATAAAAAAAGTGTTTGGAGCTGCTCTGCAGCCTCTTGGGCCCTGGATTGAGCTGGGAGGTGAGGAACAAGGTTGTCCTTAAATATCAGATGGCACATCCTGTCCTCAGCTCAGCACAGCCTTTCTCAGGAAGGGAGTGCTTGTGGTCCTTAAAGCCCCTCGGCCTCCCAGAGCATGCAGGGAAAGGCTCTGGAACATGAAGTTTCTCCAGCCTGGGGTGGGCCTGAGGATGAGGATGAAGATGGGAAAGGGTATGCAGATAGGGATGGGTGGGATTTTTCAGGGGAGCACACTTCCGTTGGTGGTGTAACAGGTTGTTCTTTGGCATTGGGTCTCTGGAGCTGATCCCCACACAGACCCCAGGAAGTAAGTCCAGGAATCTGCTGAACCAATCAAACTTTCAGGGTGTCCCTGTTGGGTCTCTGGGACATAGAAATCCTCCCATGTGGGAGATGACAGCAGGGTTTGAGCTGTCTGGTTGTTGCAGGAGAGCAGAGCTGGGGTGCAGCTTTCAGGTTGCATTCTCCACTGCTGAGAAAGGACCCACGTGTCCTGGCACAACCAGGAAGAGATCAAAGGGTACAGAGGGCCTGACCCTGCTCCTCTCCCCAGGAGAAGGTGAACCAGCTGAAGGATGAGGTGCGCCTGCAGTACGAGAAGATGCACCAGATCTTGGATGAGGACTTGAGGAAGACAATGGAGATCCTGGACAAGGCCCAGGCCAAGTTCTGCAACGAGAACGCAGCCCAGGTTCTGCACCTCAATGAGCGCATGCAGGAGGCCAAGAAGCTCCTCAGCTCTGTCCAGGTCATGTTCGACAAAACTGAGGACATCAACTTCATGAAGGTAAGACAAGCTGCCCATGCCAGGGTGGGATGGGGGCTGTGGAGAGGTTTGGTTGTGTGGGAAGAATTGGGTATGTGTGGGGTGTGGTGGGGAGCAGGATGGCGACATTAGCAGGGCTGGCTGATGTCTCCAGAGTGCTCAGCAGTGGAAGAAGTCAAGGAGAAGTGAGGCAGGCTCAGTGCTGGCCTCAAATGAGGAAGTGCCACAGCTGGAGATGGGGCTGGAGCAGCCCATGCAGGGGAAAGGGGGCTCAGTGCCCGTGGTAAGACTGTCCCCTCCTGGGGGGCCATGGAAGCTGACACTGAAAGGGGGCATGGCCACCATGGCAGGGATTTGCCTTACTGACCAGAGCTTCTCCTTCCACTTCTAGAACACCAAGTCTGTGAAAATCTTAATGGACAGGTAAGCGCAGCGGGACAGACGTGTTTGGGGAAGAGGGTGTGTTCGTGTCCACAGGGGTGGCAGCAGCACAATATCCAGAGGAAGACCAGGGCCAGGGATGCTACAGGGTTTGGGAGAGGCATGTGCCATGCTCAGCTTCCCTCTCTCTCTGGGAGGATGAAAAAATCCCCTCATGCAGCCACTGAATCAGGTCCTCCCCGTGGACTAGGGGAATCTCAGTATTGTGTTTGTGGAAGAGCAGAGGATGGGACCAGCCGGGTTGGGGTGCCGGGCTCCATCCAGCTCCATTGGGCAGAGGCAGGGCAGGGAGTTAAAGGCAGCACTAGCAGAGCAGAGATGAGCTGGGATGGCCATGCAGTGGGGACATGGACTGCAGGAGGTGTGTCCTGGCAGAGGACATTCAAGGAAATGGGAAGGTCCTGCCTGCCAGAGACAGCCAGCTCGCTTCTGTCCTCTACCCTAGGGAGGGGGTTTGGCTCCAGGAGGGTGTGGGGGGAGGAGCTGTCCCTCTCCTGCATCTACCTTGTAACTCACACCTCTCTGCCTGCCATCCCCAACAGGACTCAGAACTGTACAGGTGGCAGCCTGCCCCCACCCAAAATTGGCCACCTCAACTCCAAGCTCTTCCTGAACGAGATCGCCAAGAAGGAGAAGCAGCTGAGGAAGTTGCTGGAAGGTGGGTGAAACCTGAGGGGTGCAAGGGCATGGGACCTCACTACCTCCTGTATCCATAGCTGGCTGCCTGCAGATCCCAGTACAAAATGGTAGGGAAAGCTCTTTGGGGTAGGGGCCCCATGGAGCCCCTCTACTGTCAGCAGGGAGAGTCACAAAGCCAGTTCCTGACTCTTTCCAGGGCATTTTCCTTGTCTTGTGAAATGGCTGTGTTCTGGGGTTACACAAAACCCTGAAATACAGAGCTTTTAGGGGTTTAGCCATTGCCAGGAAAAGTCAGTGGAAAGATGGGGGTCAGCATGTGGGCAGGGACAGCCAGGGGCTGGCATGGCCCCACAGCCCCCAGCCAATGCCTGGGTGCAAACCACATCCTGTGGAGGCTTCCCAGTCCTCTCCTTGGGGATCTGGTGTTTATCCCCCAGGCTGTCCCACTCTGCTCCTGTTAGGGACTGTGATCATGAGCTGTTGGCAGAGCAGTGCCCGGGGCTGCTCCGAGCCCGCTGCCAGGGGCCCGGAACTGAATCTGCAAGTCCACCTGCACAGGGCTGTGTGCCTGGTTTGCCACTGGTGGGGCGGGCTGGGGCACCCTCTGCACACGTGGGGCTGGAATGTGGGTCTTGGGGCTCCACTGCAGCTTCGGATCAGCAGCCGGAGCACCCTGGGCTGTGCTTAATACAATCCCCCTCTCCTGTTGCCCTCCACAGGTCCTCTGAGCACCCCCGTCCCCTTCCTGCAGAGCATCCCCATGTACCCCTGCACCGTCAGCAACTCCGGCGCGGAGAAGCGCAAGCACTCCACCGCCTTTCCCGAGGGCAGCTTCCTCGAGCCATCGTCCGGGACTGTGGCGAGCCAGTACATGAGCCAGGGCGCTTCGGCTGGCGAGGGGCAGTCCGCACAAGCCATGGTGCCTTGTAGCTCCACGCAGCACATAGTTGGACTTCCTAGCGGCCCGCAGCCGGTGCACTCGGGCTCCGTCTTCAACCCATCTCACTACCCCAACACCACGTCATCTCAGCAGTCCGTGCTCTCCCAGTACGGCGGCCGCAAAATCCTCGTCTGCTCCGTGGATAACTGTTACTGTTCCTCGGTGTCCAACCACAGCGGGCACCAGCCCTACCCGCGCTCGGGGCACTTCCCCTGGACAGTCTCGTCGCAGGAGTACTCCCACCCGCTGCCGCCCGCCCCCGCCGTCCCCCAGTCGCTCCCGGGACTTGCCGTGAGGGAATGGATTGACGCATCCCAGCAGCACGGGCGGCAGGATTTCTATAGGGTCTACGGGCAGCCGTCGGCCAAACACTACGTCACCAGTTAACCGTCACACTCTCCGGAGAGTCCTGCTCGATGACGTGTTCAGAGAGAAAAGTCTGGTTTGGTTTGGCTTTTCTTTTTTTTTTTTTCCTCCCCTTTTTAAATCAAACCCAATGTTTTCCCTGCCTCGCGCCCCTCCAGGATTTTGGGGAGGGTTGTTCTAGCATATCTCCTTTTTTTTTTTTTTAATCCTTTAAAAATGAAATAATTTTTTTCATTTTATTGTCTTTTTTTAATTTAATTTTGGAAGTCCTTCCTGCCCCTCGCTGGGTAAACACGAGGGAGAAATTACCGAGAAGAAATTGATGGGGATTTCAGTCGGACATCTGGGTCTGTGCGTTGTGCTCTTCCTCGCTCCTCTCTGCCTTTGGAAAACTTCAGAAGGGACAATGGCACCTTCTCTCTTTCTATTTCTCCGAGTTAATTTTTTTCTGGTTTGGTTCAGTTTTTTCCCTTTCCCCACCCCTTTCTTTCCCTTTTTAAAAAGAAAAAAAAAAGAAAAAATCTATCATTGATTCAGTATGAAATGACACTTGTAGATTTTGGGTTTGTTATTTTTTTTTTTAAAGGCTGATTTTTTTTTTTGTGTTACAAGGCCACTTCTCATGCATATTGGCATTTTTTTCCTTCTTTCAGAGATTTGTAAATACACAATGGCAGGAAATTTAATGCACAAAAAAAAAAAAAAGGGAAAAGAAACTTTACAAAAAACCACAAATAAATAAATAAAAAAAAATCTGTTCTAGTTTTCAGGAGGGGAAGTGTGACCGAAACACACTCCCCTCCTGCATATCGCTGATGCAACTTCCTGTAACAAGCACTTTGTATAAAGAAAAGTGGACTTCCTGCTATAAGGCACAGGTATTTATTCTGTAACCGATTTTAGACACACACACACACACACACACACACACACACGCAAAATATTCAAATAAATGTGATCACTTAGTGCAAATGCCTCGCTCTGCTGCAGCTCTTCCCCTGGGAACGCCAGCTCCGGCGGGAGGCTCCAACCTGCGCTGGGAAGGAAACGCTCCCAGTCCCGCAGGGCCCGGACGGTGGCGGGGGTTTTCCAGAGGGGCTGTTCGGGAGGGAGCAGCTCGGCCATGGGGTGGCAGAGGGTCCCAGGTGTGACAGGGTCCCCACCAGCGCCCATCCCATGTCCAGCCCCGTGGGAAGGTGTGCTGGAGATGTGGCTCTCCACCAGCTCCCTCCCAGGCGGCGAGGATGTGAGTCAGGCACGGAGCCGGCCAGGCCGCATCCTGCCCGTGGGCTCAGAACAATCCCCATTGTGGGATGGGGACTGGGTTGGGGACAGCAGCTTTCCTGGCCCTGCCAGCATCCACCATTCCAGCCATGCTGCTGCCCTGGCACCCAGCCTGTAAGCCTTCATCCCCGCTAAAGCCCCGCTGCCCCCTGGGGCTTTGTGGGTGCTGGCAGCACCCCGGGCTGCTTTGGGGACCCTCTGTGCTCAGCCAAGGCTGGGAAGGGCGAGGAGGAGCCCTTTGTCCAGGACATGCAGTGGGGCCGTGCGCTGGCCTGGCTGGGGCTGTGCAGGGGCGATCTTCGTCTGGGGAAAATGAGGCTGGCTTCATAAAACAGCAGTGTCCTAGAGGCAGGAGGGGTTTTCCACTGCTCTCTTCAGGTTCAGCTTGCTTTATTTTTTCCTTGGTTGCAAAACACCCCTGGTTTAGTTCCAGTTTGAATTCCCCCTGTGCTACTTCAGTGGGAACTGGGAAGGGGAGGAAGTCTCAGTGAGCTGAAACAGGGGAACAGTGGGTTTGAGGGAGGGGGACCCTCTCACTAACTCCTCCCATTCCATTCCAACAGAGGTGGCAGCACAACCCTGGACAAGTTCCCAGGCAGTGTTGGGCTGGGGAACCAGTACCTCCTGCCCCTGTGTGTTCTTGTACACGCAGGCTGCAGTGCCTGGCAGCTCAGCCCTGCTGTCCTGCTGGGTTCTTCTCAACCCTGTCCTGCTTGGGCTCTTCAGGAAACCCTCATTGGAATATTTGGGGATTTGCTTCTCAGTCAAAAGCAAAGCACTCCAGGGTGGCAGGAGGAAGCAGGATGCTCTCAACCTCCACAGGGATCCCATGATGCCTCCCCTCCATATTCACAGGGCCGGCTGCTGGGGGCTAAAGAAGAGCCCTGGGGTGATGAGGATACAGGCGAGATGAGTGATGTCCCTCCCTGTGGAAGAGGGTCCCCGATGCACAGCCAGGGCCACCCCCCACCCCAGGGTACTCCCCAGCCACGGCCCCTATGCTTGGTGCCTCTAGGTTTGACTGCCCAGCTGTCCTCCTCATCATCATCCTCTTCCTCCTTGGCACAGCTGCCTCCTCCTGTGATAGCAGCAGCTGCCAGCCCAGGCATTAAAGCACCTGTCACCTACTAATGAGGGGACACAGGCTGGAGGGATCAGCCCCAAAAGAGTGGGTGCCCATGCAGAGCAGAGGGGCCACAGCAGGGGGCCCCTTTTCCCCCCATCCATGAAGAGTCCCCTGGTGTCCTGGGTGCTTCAGCTTGCAGGACCATCAGTGCCATCAAGCATCACGTGCTGCTGGTGGCGAGGAGGAAAGCAATGGGCCCGTGGGATCATCCCATGGAGCAGGAGGAGGAATGTGTGCCCGTGGCTGTTGGGATATTGGTGTCCTGGGAGGGGAAGCGCTGAGGCTCGGGTGCACAGCGGGGTTTTATTGATGGATGGCTCTTTCCAGGGGGTGGGGAGAGCAGGGGGAGCAGAGGCACATCCATAAACAGCTCAAGTTGTGAATGGAAAGAGACGGATTAGGAGCCAGGTGAAAACATGTCACACGGCGGAAAGAAAAATGAGCAGCTGGGCGAGACCAAATTGGTGTCTGATGAAGGACATGGGGCCTGGTGGAAAAAGGATCCTGGAGCTGGCGGTGCTGCACGGGGGAGGCTGATGGGGAACAGCTGGAGCTGGACACGCACATCTGGTGGAGCAGGGTGGGGGGAGAGGCAATGGCTGCTGTAAGCACCGTGCCACCGGCCACCGCACTCGGCACGAGGCCGCGGGCCAGCCCTCGCAGGGGCACGGCGAGAGGGACTGATGCTTCGCTGTCAGGGTGATCCTGGAAGGGGCCACAGCCCCGTGGCCCTGCCCTCAGCAGGGATTTACCTGGTGGGCTTTAGGCTCTCCTGTGCCAAGGGGTCCCCAGGTGGAGGAGCCACTGCCTCTTCCTGCATTTGCATACATGTAAATAAGCAATCAACATAATGAGGGCGAATGCAAACCAGGCTTTCAGTTTGCAACCAAGTCCTATTTTTAACCTGGGAGAAGGGTTTCAGCAGGAAGCTGCAGGCCCTGCCCTGGTACCCATCAGCACGTCCGGCGGTGTGGGTGCTCACGCTGACCCTTCACCCCAAAGCACCGCTGACCCCACCACCACCACTGGGTCAATGCATGTTGTGCTCTGTTCCCGTTACCAAAGCAAACAGAAATCCCATATCTTTGTGGAAAGATGGACCACACAACATCACACCCTGCCTCGCAGGAGCCTTTTTGGGCAGCTCTCCCACTCGCTGAGCCCCAGGTCCTGCTTCCAGCCAGGGTGTGCACCCCAGGAAAGCCCTCGCTGCCTTGGGAGAGAAAGCCCCATGCTTAAACATGAGGGTATATTTAGACAATGTCAATTTAAGTTTGCACATCAACCTTATAAATATGAAAGCCCATCTCCACGAGATGTTTAAGATACCTCATCACCCCTTGGAAAATATGCAGGAATATTAATTAGCCAGATTTGGGTATTATCTCATAATGAATAAATGAAAAGACTCACTGCCTAAGATGAACCACTGGTGTTTCATTGGGTTTTGTTACTTTCTTCTAAGAAAAGTGTGTTTTTAAGGTAATTCGCTCATTTTAACCCAGGCTGGCACAGGGGCTCAGAAGATGCAGCCATGCCAGGATCAACCAAGGTGGGACACAGCAAACTACTTCTTACCTGAAGAGATCCTAAAAGCTGCTGTTTTACACCCCCTGATTTGGCCCCAGCTGGCTGCACTGCCTCTGGAGTTGGAATCCTGTCCCAGCTGCAGCTCTGGGCCCAAGATGGAGGTGGAAAATACAGCCCCACTTCTCAAAAAATTGATTTTTTGCTTCTTCCTTTCCTGCCCTCAATCCTTGCCTCCTGCCCTCCTGCTCCGTTCCCCTGGCTGCTTCACTCCCTCCAGCTGGGCCAGGATGGGAACTTCCCAGTTGCTGTAGAAACCCAGATGAAGGACACACTTCAAACAAAAATGCCAAACAAGAAATGGCTTTGTGTGCTCCCGGATGGCTGCTTTTCCTTGCCAGGATGTGGTGGCTTTGAGGCCCTTCTTTGGGGCACCCTGTGTGGACAGGGAGGGCTGTAGGGACACAGGAGGCTCCCTCGCAGACCCGAAAGCTTGTGTTAAGCAGTGAGCAGAGGCTGGGGGTTACGGGGGACTGCACTTCAAAGGTGTCCATCACCCATGGGATGCTGCACTGCAGCCACTGGGGTTTTGACATTCCTGCCAGCTCTGGCACCATCTCCCCCTCTGGTCTTACGGCTAAGACACCCCTGGGACCCCAAGGGGCATCACCACCGTGATTTGCAAGATTTTGGGGTGATGGAGCAGTTTCCAGCTGGTGGGAAGAGGCTCAGGGCTGAGAAGGGGACAGCCGGGCAAAGGGGACAGGGCAAAGGATGGGGACACCAGCACACGCCTCAAGGTCGAGGTTGGATGGCCTAGGCGGTGGCAGGGCCAGGTGGCAGAGCCGTGTCCCGTGGGCACAGGGAAGTGGCAGCAGAGGAGCGGGGTCGGGACGGAGCAGGCAGCAGGCGCTGGGGGCCGGGGCCGTGCCGGGCCCCCCCGGCGCGTGGCGGCTGGCGGGGCCGGGGCGGCGCGTGGGTGCGGGGCGCTGCCGGCTGCCGGAGCTGCCATTGTTTGCCTTCAATCAAGATGTTTCAGGCAGAATCAAAAGCACCAACTGGGGAAATCATCATCACAAAAAATCTTGCGCCTGCAAAATAGGTCAAGTAAGACTCCAAAGAGAGAGAGCGTCTGATCTGCATTGCAAGGAAGAATAGCAACAGCTGTGATCTCCAGTATATATGGATGGGCTGGGGGGGGATAAATATATATATCCATGCATATGTATAACCGCTTACAGCTGTTGGGCCGTATGTTCATTAGGGCCAACTGTTTTGGAGGCAGAGGGATCAGCGCTAATCGGGAAAGGGAGTTTATCATCACATTCAGAGGCAAAAGTGTCAGGAGCAACTGCAGCCCCCCCGCCCCGCAGCCCACACCAGCTGTGCCACGCTGAATGCACCCAATTCAGGGCCCCTCCCAACCCCCCCGGGCCGTGAGAGCTGCAGCTCCTGCCCCAGCTCCAAAAGCAGCCGCCAGGCCCAGCTCTCTGCCCAGTCCCAGACCCAAGCACCGTCCCCAGGTGCAGAGAGGTTGTCACGCCTCTTTCCCCACGCCCCAGAGCAGCTCTCCATGCCCACGCCACCAACACAGCCCCTCACAGTAAGGCCCCTTCGCTTATCCCTTCCTGGCTCTGGCCTCACAGGTGCCAGCTATAAAAATGAACCCAAAATACATATAAATCCTCCTGTCTGACATCAGGGAGGGTGATGGAGCCGGGGCAGGACAGCTGGCTCAGCCACCCCAAGACGCTGGGCTTTGTCTGGTCTGTTGGGACCCAGCTGTCGCAGGCTGGGGACAGCACAGTGTCCCAGCACACCATGATGCTCTCGGCAGCGGGGGACCCTCAGCACCCCAAGCTCCTGCCAGACAGAGAAGCATTAAAGCATGCAGGCTGTGGCTCCCATTGGTAACACAAATGTTGAAAGCCAAACAGCAAGGACACCTTCTATTTAAAAACATCTCTCATCCAGGCGGTTTACTTGCAGGGTGTTCCTGCCAGCTCCTAATGCAGCTCAGACTTGGGGCCTAACC